GCCTGATTCAGACAGGACGATACCAAGCTGGATAGGCAGAGAAGTTGCTCTGGCTCATGCAAAAGCCTGTAATGCCACTTCAGGTCGTGCCACTGGTGCCAGACTCCTTGTTTCCAAGATATTAGTGGTTTACAAGAGGAGCTAGGAAGTCAACGTAACCAGGTAGTTAATAATACATTCAGTGCTTTGGACCTCTTTTAGGAGCCGACTATGGCTTCCAGCATTAATATTTGCCAACGGTAAAATTCAGAGAGAATTTTGTGCAAAACATCAAGACACTGAAGATAACCTTTAAATCTCTTGGACTGGGATGAATTAGGCACTTCCATTACACTAATCTTCCAGTTTGGAAATGTGAAATGAAAAACATTCCAGGGCACATAACACTGAGGCATAAACCATGCTGCAGAAGTGGGGACATACCAGGCTTTTAGAATGCCCAGGCTCCTTGTTCAAAAAGCCATGAGAAACGCCCCAAGCATATTGGCAGAGCAGCCATTCTGGTGGTGATGATGCCCCCAAACTAAATAAACCTGCAGGCATATGGCTATTTTCTGAAGAGTCAACACTGTACTAACATGAGTAGCCACGTAGGTGTGTATATTGATAATCAGAGGCCAGAGGTAGAGCGACCTGGGCAAGCCACCTAGCACACTTGGCTCTACACCTCTCACCAAGGCCACTACCTTTCAAGAAGAACATCCCCAACCAACGGCCCTTTGATGACAGAGCAGAGTGCAGGGGACCAGAGATGATCATTTTTCTGAGAGAAATGTTGGTTATGGAAAACCTCCTGGAGAGGCAACATCCCAGAGACCCATTTAAGAATGAAGATAGACAAAAACTGCCAGACCACTGCACTATCCTGCCAAGTGAGAAATACATTTAACAGGCATAGCTTAGGGTGCCAAGTAGAACAGAGGGACTGAAGCTTAAAGAAAAGCAGAGAGATTGAAAGACAAAGTGAATGATCTGTTGGGTGAGAGAGAAGTAGAAAGCGAGGGATGAAAAAAGATATAAAAAAAAGATGAAGGAGCATGCCAAAGCCTGGCTGGAGGGAAGGCAGCACGGTTTCGTCTACATCCAGTGAAAGAGCTTTGCTGGTTGGTTCTTGGCAGGAGTCCCTCTCTCATTTTCTCAGACTGGATGGACATGTGGCATTCAGCAGCAAACCAGGGGAGATGGTATTTAGAAATGGAGATAACTGGCGAATGATACTGAACAGAAATAGACGGGTGTACCATTCTGTAATGCCCTGTTTATACACCAAAGGCAGGTTTGTGTTGACAGACCGTATTTGGGGTTCTCATGCAACAGCAGTAGTACTTTGGGAGAAGGCGGAATGATGGGGTGGAGGTGGGGCTGGTGGTGAGGAGGACTCTCAAGTTCCAGTTCTTAAATACTCAAAAGCAAGAACAGTTTGGTCTCAGTCCTTTAGTGAAGAAATCGGATGCTCATTTTCTGTTCTACGTCCACCTTCTCCAAAACCTGGAAAAAAAAAGACAAAACAAAACCCAATTACAGTTATGCAGGTCAAAAGAGGAGATACTGTCCCAAGTTCTTATCTGAATGTTTTTCTCCCTCCCTCCTGTACAACAATTTTAAAGCTTTTCAACATTTTCAAACCAAGAGGTGACTGACTGACCTTAACAAACTCTGTAAAAGAGATGGCGCTGTCCCCATCCTGATCAGCCTCCTGGATGGTCCTGTCTGCAATGCTGCCCAGCTGCTCATCTGAGATATTTACTCCGACCATCATACGTAGCACCTGCAAGACCAAAAGCCAGGAATTACAGGAGACTTGGGGGTCAGGGGAACTCTTTTATGAAGATTAAAGGAAAATTCACTCCCACCCTCTTTTCCTTTGATGTCCTTAAATATAACGGCCAGAAAGCTGAAACCCTTGTCTTCTCGTCTAGGCCATTCTAGATAAAGATGTGAGCAGAACTCTTTGGCAAGGTCACTGGAAAGGAAGGCAAAGTTTCACTAGGGGAGAGTCGTTTGCATTCTGCTCTTCCCGTTCTTCCTGTCTGGAATATAAATATGATGCTTTGGTGGCGTAGCAGCCATCTTGCGACTATGAGGTGAAAGTCGTATGTGCTATGCATGCCAGAGCAAGAATACAGAAGCCTGATTCCTGGACGTCACTCAGGTACAGCACCAACCCAGATAATCTATCCCAAGATTTCTTATTGCATGAGGCAAACTAGTTCCTTATTGGTTTAAGTCAGTTTGGTGGAGCTTTCTAGAAACCCCACATGAATGCAGTAGTCTTCTTTGAAGCAGCGGATTATATTAAACCAGCTATTTCTCAAGTATAATCAAGAAACATAAAGACACTTGAAGGCTTAAATACTAAACCCTTCTTTTGAGAAAAATAACAAAAATATTTAAAGGGCTATAGTAAAGAGAATTTGAACACTGTTTCACCAAATTTGTTTCACACATAACCAAGAACCCCCCTCCCCTCAATTCTTTAGGGCATAAATATACTCTGGAAATTGCTACTTTAAGCACAATAAGCAACCGTAGTGATATGAAACGAGGGACAGGGTGCTTTTGTGATGCCTCACATTACTGTAGTCAGCCACCTCTGTCTTCAGAGATAAGAGTTGAGCTTTTCCACAAGAAAGGCCTTCCAGCCCAGCTGTTCACAAGCCTTCCTTTCCCCCACCTCTTACATCCTTATCCAATCTCATGACACAGACTTTTAAAAGTAAATTACAGGATTTTCTGAAAAGAAAAAAAGAGCTGAAATATGGATTTGCATCAACACTGGTTATTTCTTTTCACAAACTGATTCTTGAAAATTGGAAGGTGTACGTTTGGGGTACAAATTGTACCCCAAATTGGGGTACATATTGAAGGATTAATAGAAAGAGGCAATCCTGGCAAAAATAATAAATGGACAAGTCATTTGCCATCTTCCCCGATCGTCTGTGGCTGACTAGACAAATTCATCCTCAAATAGCACCTTCTTCAGATCTGCATCCAATTATTCCTGAGGTGTTTTATTTTTAGAATTAGAGAACTGCATTGAGCATGTGTGCTCTGTGGGGATAGGAGTGGTGTTGTCTGAGGAATCACTCATACAATCTGTTCAAGAGGACAAGAGGGTCTAGAAGTGGCTTGATCCAGGTCCCAGCGACCAGTGGCCCATGTAGTCGTCCAGGCCTCTGTGCCCAGTCAGCTATCCACAGTGGCACTGAGGGCTGTAGTTGGAAGTTCATTAGCAAACAGGGCTTTCATTATTCCCACTTGGTTAATATCTGCTAAGGTTTGTTGTATATTCCTTTCATCAGTGTAAGAAAGCTCCCTTCTATCTGTTTTTATGTCTTTTTTTTTTAATTAATATGTAAAGGTTCATAAATTTGCATGTCATCCTTGCAGGGGCCGTGCTAATTAATCTTCTCTGTATCATTCCAATTTTAGTATATGTGCTGCCAA